AATTTATAGAATTGTACATCAGATTGTAAACCACTCTTTATGCCACAACTATACACTGCCGTTCCAGTCTCTAAAGCAGTACAATAAAGTCCGCAAACTATCAATATTATCGCATTTTCAGTATTTGTTGCACTGCTTGAAACCATAGCATCAGTTACTTTCCGGAAACAACGAATCTAACTCCCTCAGGCCTCAGAGAGGCTCGGGTTCCGCAGACTAACACAATCCTTAACCAACATGCACAGTGGCTAGATGTCGTTAGGCTTCAATTGACTTTCTATTACAGTACAACTAAAATGACTCAGTGGTAGTTCTCGCTTATTTCCCACGACATTTTGATCTTCTTACAGATGAAAATTTGACCAGCGTGGACACTGAGCTTCGCCGGCTGTCACCGCGAACGTTGCCTGCAAGTCTAACTCATGTTATGAAAAGTGATCATTCGACTACGCCACATTACTATCACAGAACTAATGGGAAGGAACTTGCTAATGTTGTACTACAGGCAGAGTGCGTTTTGGATGAAATCTGACAATTTTACACCCATATGACAGACACGTTTGAAGGTAACATGTTGCATGCTGGAAGCAGCTTGACGGTATGAGTGGTTTGTCGTTATGCTGAATTAGAGTAAAATGGCGGTTTGCTAGAAGCATGGAGACCTGAGACATTGACTGTATGCAGGCTACATGGTGAATTAAAAGATAATGGCTAACTAAATCAAACCTGCAATCAAAGTAGCGAAACCTAATTATTATTCGGTAACTGATCCCAATCTATCTTTCAGCCATGTCTCTTAATAGTATGCTATCTTATGATCTATGGTCAACAGAGCATGTTTAACGGGTTCGCTATCAATTTATATCAAGTCGGAAATGTGATATGGTGGTTAAAGAGATCACGCCTAGCAATTTATCTGAGCGTTTGTAGCTGTGAACCTAGCGATGATTGTGCTAAAAGCATCATAGCTAAAATCGCACTCAATGCGCAAGGTGAAGTGTTAGGTTTTACTCGCTTCCCCATTTTCAGTTAGAGGTACACACAGTTGCTACTCAGTGCCAGCGCACAATGAGCCCCTACCCTTTCTCACATGCATTGTCTGAGGCAACTAGTAGTGTAGGGTTCAAAGGACTCCACCGGTAATCTCTGCGACCCGCGTTCAGACCCTAGTTCGGCTCTCTGCACCCGAAGACTGCGAACGAGTCTGAGACCAGGCGCAGAGCGTTACGTATGGGAGTGAGTGACACACCAGGTCAGGACTTCAGGCCGCTTCCCGGTGGTACGAATGTAGGATGCAAACGAAGATGCCGGCGGCGGCAAACAGCATGAACTGGATGCTTCAGTTCTGACCAACGAAACTACTCATCTACTCACTTAATCTTGGGTTGCATGGCACGCACTGTTCCTGCCTGTGGTGGCTGTGAGTGCATTGCGTATGTGTCAGTGCTTCGCGCGCGTTCACCTGCAGTTCCGAAGTGCAGTCGCTTTCGGGGTTATTATGGCCGGCCGTTGACTTGTAGCCATTTGGTTTCTTGAACACATACTACTGAAAACTGGCGCCGTAGTATCAGTTTTTAGCCAACCACATAATGACCTTCGATAACGGGGTCTTGTATAACTTGTCACGCCTGCGTGCGCCAGCCACAGGTACATTTATAGAGGTGTTTATTTCACCGCCCCTTGCTGAGGCTGAAGTTGCATTCATGATGCTTCTTCACCGCAGTTGGGCTAAACCAACTTACACTTAAACTAGACATTTTTAATGTGGATAAAATTCATTCCACTTTATTTGGTTTGTTCTGCGTACTTGATAATCTTCTCCTTACTTGCACACTTCACTCACGCAAATTGTGGTAAACTTGCGTAATTTTATCGCGTGGTATTTTTAACTAACTTTCGGACATTTTGTACCTATCAAGGATTCACTTATAACCAATTTCTTCTATATGCTCATTTAGCGAGTACTTGTGTCCTCATGTGCGTTTACTTTATTCGATATCGGCATTTTGAGTGCTTGCCTGTTGTTTGACATCACAGGTGTGGCTGCGCTTGATGTGTATGTTGACAAGGCGCCTACCTGTCTATTACCCACTACCTCGCCCATACTGGCTCTAGGAGATAGTTAGTCGATGGAGGAGGGGACGGGGTGCACGGTTCTTGTGGCCGTGCTAGACTCGAAGAGTGGTTCCATGCACTCAGTGTGGAGCGGACTACCGTCCAGCCACTGCCTTGTGTGTGTACTTGATTCCCTAAATACAGCGTGCTTGTGTTTGCCTGTGAAGGAGTGTGGGCCGGCTCCGTTGATGAAACGTGACTTCCATCCACATGCCTCCTGGTCTTATTCCTTCGGGTTTACACTAGATATGGGTGTGTGGATGGAGCTGTGTGTGGTGCAGCGCAAGCTATCCATGGTCCCTCTGTAGGCGCAGGCGTCCTGTGGCTGGTCACAGTGACAGGCAAATCCGAAACCGGATGCCACCAACCTTATTTCACCGCGCAAAGCATACGAGTATGCCCGTCACAGGTGTTTGACGAAACCTAACTGTTGTGTGAAGCAAGAACCCTCTCTCCTCCGTTACTCACCTCTGCTTGGACGCTTAGATATTCATTAAACCGGAACAGTTTCTGCCGAGTAGTGACAGGTAACAATGCAGTTCACGTGGGTAGTAATTGTTTGACCATGGTCTGATTCGCGTGTGCTGATTTGACTCTCCTAAACATCAGTTAGTGCGAACGAATGATAGCCATGATCCACGACGTGCCCCGGATGGAACATCCACGGGAATTTATTCCACTGTTCCATTTCAACATGAAGTTGAAATCTGTGCCTTAGCAGACAATGTAAAGTATATATGGATGTCAAAATTACAATTAGCCGCAGTGTTTATTTTCCTTGTCCAAACATGTCAACCATGCGCTGTGGTTACCAACAGCAAACCCATAATCCAATCTTGCGTTCCACCCTTCGCTCACTGACGTGATTATCATCTCGCCTTGTGTGAACCCTCCTTTTGTACCGACCATGAGTATCTGTGCTTCCCATCTCCTGCACGTGGGCAGCTGTAACCCCATGGCTGAAGGCTATAAACAGACTGACTTCATTTCGCTTCAGCTTCTTCCCTGCCCTCATTCTATTAGTGCAAGTAACCAATCCCATCATTTCGTTTGTTTCACATGGTGGTTGTGCATTCTGGGTCCCACACTGCACCATGGTCAATCTAAAGCATAGCTTGTTGACTGGCTGACCAAGAGGCGCTTGCCACTGTAGTTGATTTGAGTTGGGAGCCTCATTGTCGCGATATGTATGCTTAGTGCTTACTTATATGTTTGTAACTAGTGCTGTTATCCAGTTCCAGCCTTGTTGTCAATTCGATCCCGGTAGAAACGTGTCACTCGAACCTTAACAGCGAATTCTGTCGCTCACATGCAGCAGTACGGAAAGCGGTGCATGACATCCTAGCTCACAGCTCATTAAACGTAAGCGTAGTAGGTGTGCCTCGTGCACCCAGAGATAATTAACCATGAAGACAAATTCGTTTCACTTTGGTCCATCCCACCACCCAATGGTAACCGTTACATTCACCGACTTCAGTGTCTGTTCCAAACAAAAGACTGACAAAACAAGTTAGAATGTGCGCGTCCCGGTACGTTACCTTCACTAGCCGGTATCGAATCCATGTGACTTTTCCTCCTGCTTCCACATCGATTTTGCGAACAGGAATCTCTTCAAACAGTTCCAACGCCTCAGTCAACTTGTCCATAGTCTCTTCGCACCGCTCCGTGATCTCTTCGGTTATCCTCTCGATAGCATCTGCTTCTGTCTCCTTCTCTTCAGAGGCCACTTCAGCGTCATTTTCCTTTAAACATACAAACGCATACATCGTGTTATCATGCTGGTTGGGTAAACAATCAACTTTGCAAAATCACGGTGAGTATTAGCCCATGCTTCAGTTAACTAGTGTAGAACAATCTCTCATGAAACAAAGAACACGAAGCTAGCAGTGCAACCACTGGGTAAATAGGTGTGACACAATCTGGCACAATTGCAAGATTGAGGCAGCATACTTGTGAAACGAGTGGACCTTCAAAAAGAGACCATTTTAGTTAAACCGGAAAGACCCAGATAAAATTGTTAGGATAACTGACTCATTTTGTGTTAAAATTGTTAAGGAACAGTTAAGATAGAAACTTCTTCCTACATTAAAAAAGCTAGTGGGTAACTTAGCCAGGCTGAGGTGTTCCCGAAGAAAACGTTACAACAGTGCGGGCGAGTAGTATAGTGGTGAAGAGGCAACTCAAACAGGAACGAGCAAACCATTGCCATAACAACGTCCTAACGCAGCATGAATGTTCATTGATCACAGAATGTGTTGACGCAGAAAGGACGACAAAAATGTTGACAATAAAGGCAGTGTCACGCACACTTTTGGAGGACATTCGTGGTGATACTCAACACCACGCAGATGATTAGCCTCGTGAGTGCTAAAGTCTAGTATATATTACTCATACTTGGTGTTCAAACAGATACGTTTCCCCATCAGGAATTTTGAGTGGCTATTCCTTTCTGACACACTGTAGGAGCGAGGGAGGTATCTGGGGGATTATAGACGCAACAGCTCCTCTTGTCAATCACATAGTGGAGGTAAACTGAGTTCATTTGGTGGTGATGGCGACGGGACATACATTTGCAGCAACTTCGTGCAACGATAGCAGCTGTTAGGCCGATCGAATACCCAGACTGTAACAAATCACTTGCTAAGACGTAACTGGAATGACGATAGGTATAGAAAGATGTACTGTGACCAGTTAGTCTCTTCCACGTAAAGGGGGAAGCAGCACGGGACATAGGCGGTTACTCACATTGCTATGAGCTTGACCACGCTCATTTTGAGCGGAACTCCTCTTAATTCGCCTCAGCCATCAAGGTTTAACGGTTGAGGTTTGGCGAGATAGTAAGCTGTTCTGTACATGCGCCAAGTAAACCGTGGTCCGCTCACTGCCCTAATGCCGATAAGTTGGTATAAGCAAAATGGTTCTTGTTGCCCATGGTTCAGCTTAGGGCTTATGCTATAAAGTCTGGGACTAGTGGCGAACGTATAACGTCATAAGCAGAATCCACACCAAACAACTCCATCCACCACGGAGTTTATCGTCCTGTTTTCATTCTAGATAGAGTGACGTACCTTATGGACTGGTAAAGGGGATTGGCCAAATGCCCGTTCCAACACTGACGGCGTGTCCATCCTGAATACACTCTGTTCACTGAAGCCATCCAAAGCCGTAAACTTTTGAAAAGCGGTACGCTTGTAGTGAAGTACTCGGAAATTTTTCCTTATTTATATGTCAATGCATAATTACTTAGGACGAAACTGATGGGAAACCTTTGGTCGGTATTCCACACCGAGGTAGGTATATATCGCAGTGCCTTCCATATAGGTGATACCGCTCGTTCAATCACAAATCTATGAGATACTTCCACTGGGGACAGATATCATCTTCTCAAGCATTCCTTCATCACAGAGACCCGCAGTCGGATCGCGTTGTACTGCGCTGCTCCTTCCACAGATTTCCACAGCTATGTATCACCTGGCTTAATTAATCTGTGTGGAGGGGCAACGACAAAGAAATGACCCGGTCCATCCTGTTGCTTTTAGTTGTCAACTGACAACGTACTTCTTTACGTCAAATTAACTTCCCGATTCTCTTTGTTTATATGTTGTCTGGTCCCACGTTCTGTATATCCTCAGGGACTCTTGCTCTTCTTTATGTTATTAATTCAGTTCGCACAATTGTCGCTTATTTACCCAAAATATGCCTAAACATTGAGATGGCAGCATTTTTTGTTACATATGAGAGTGACAGTTTACGAGCCATAGTAACGTCACACCAACCAGGCAGAGTAGTTGGATAGTTATAACAGACTTGCACAAGTCAATTCCGTATGCAACATGCACTAACAACCGCCATGTATTTTCTTTTATCCGCTCGCTTCATTGGTGCTCCCCTTTGCAGCTCCCCATCCATTTCTGGCACCCTCAACCATATGATCCAATGCCTAGACAGTGCACACGAAGTACATACCGTGCTATTACCTTAAACTATTCTCAATTGAAAACTAAGGTGATACAGGAACAAATGTCTGAATAAGGAGACTACTCTTCCTTGGACTGTATGGCTGTGTAGGAAACTGGGATCCAATAGCTCAGAAGAACTGGATTGCTACCTGAAGACATTCGGTATGTATGGTCTAACGTATCGTCAAAACGTTTGTCACTGTTTTACTTCACAAGGTTTCAGTAACTGGGGAGGGCCTTTCCAGATAGAAACAAGACGATCTTTGTCCAGATCGAGGTTGAATCAATCACGTACTCACGATATGTCCCGTACTCGAACTCTGTCACGTCTACCTTACTCGGACATTCATGAGTCATTTGATTCAACAGATAGGTCTATGTTGTGGAACGGGTTACTAAAGAAATGTGTTCACGACAAGTTTGTAACCAGTCACATAGGGAGTAGTAATGGCTTTCTGCAGATTCTCCTCCTTGTTTTCAGTCACAATCGGTATTCGCCATGGCTGCCCTATTTCATCATTCCTCTTGCAATTCGCCATCGAAAATTTTATCCAACGACCACTGCTCAGAACTGCGGCTCTGAGCTTCTCCCCGGATACCGTGTTTCTGATCTGGATTACGCCGATGATATGTTTGTTGGGGATGATAAAGAATTCGTCCAAAGTATTCTGAACCGTCTAGCCATGGATGTATTCAAGTATGGCCAGTATTTCAAATCAGCCAAATGCAACACGCTACTCTAGAACAGGCAGGCGCCTGTATTCACAACATTACGAGTGACGTTCCGGAACAAGGCGCTTGATTCACTTGTCCATGGAATTGCATCACGACTGTGGTGATGTTATACAGGAGGTCGGAGAAAGAGTCGCAAAAGCCCGCTTTACACTAATAAAACTGCGACAATTATGGTATCCTCGCGATGTGTCTTAAACTCAAGGGCAGGGTGAAATGTGCCTCCTTCCATACCTCCCACTTGTACGACTACAAGAACCAACCTGTTCGCTCGGAAGGCATGAACCGATTGTCAGCTTTTGACAATCGTTGTCTACAAAGGATTCCGAATGTATGGTGGAGGCATCACATTGGAAATATGGAGTTTCGAGAGAGACAGAGAGAGAGACTGCATGGAGGAAACAGTTCCTGCCTCCACAACGTTATCATCAAACGTCGCATGTTTTGTCTTGGCTACGTATTGCATATCCCAACCTATCACCCACTACGTCGAGTGCAATTTGTGCTTACAGGAAGCCAGTTGAAATGGTGTCGCTGTGGACAACTAAGGACGTAGAGAATGAGCATAAAGAAGGCAGCCTTAGCGTCTATCGGACCGGGTCACCTTACAGGCTGAGGACAACGAAGCAGACTCACAGTGGTTACAAACTTTAAATGTTATGGCCTGTTAATGATATATGGGGCACCAGCATTGTTCTGCCATCTCGTCTATTTATTAAAGATCAATAGTAAAACATATAAAATCTAAAATCGGTCTTCTATATCTGCACTGGTTCTGATGGCTATTGTCTGTATTCTGAGTTATATATATATATATATATATATATATATATATATATATATATATATATATATATATATATATGTCGTACCGAGGCTTCGCAACAACACGATCATTGACTATCGAGGCGAATTCTGGCTACTGTGATTTGCCATCTGTTCGGATGATATGAAATCATACCATTTGACCGCTGTCTTTGACAGTGCAGGGCAGCAATACAGTAGGCAGTCTTGCACTTCCGCACCACGCCCCGTCTAATTGTCACTGCATCTCTGTGCTTAGCAGGCGATGACCGGAGTTTACAGTTACGGTAATCGGCCTTTTCACTGGTGCGTCACCACCAACAAACTTCGGGAACTACAACAGTATGGGTCTAAAGAATGGAATGGGATCTGTGCCACAAGGTACCAACCAACTAAGTCACAGTGTCAGTTGGTTACGGTAGTAGTATCGGCCGTTTGAATCGTTTTGGTACACATACTTTCGGCTTTAGATGGTGCATGTAGATAGCCTTGAGGAGGGATAAGATGTATTTGCGGAAACCTTGGGAGAAGTGTCTAGGTAGTGAGTAGATGAATTTGAAGTCATTCTCAGAAGCTGTATGGCTACAATCAAAGAGGTGCGACATGATTGAGCTGTTTAAAGATCTCATCTCGCCTTTGTAGAACCAGACCGGTATGTGCTCGCGAATCCTCTGAGATAGGCGCCTCGTAGTGCGACCCACGTATCGTATACCACAAGAGCACGAGTACGGGTCAAAGAGAGCAGTCTATCTTTCAAGGATTTTATAAGCAATGGCTTGAGATAAACAATTCTCAGGCGGGCCGCGAAATAAGTTTCCTCAACAACATCTTCAAGCGTCGAGGTAACATAGCAGCTGCATAATCAACCTAAAATGTTCCAAATATGTCCGCCTATTCTGTGCATGCTATAAGGTGACTCCTGACACTAAGAAATCGGCACGGCCAGATATTCACACGTAGTTACATGTATCTTAGGAAAACCTCATAAGATACCGACAGTCAGCAAACAGTTGCTATCCGCGACTAAAATTCCCATTACAAAGCATACATCTGTCTATATTCGATCGCCTTTCTCATCCAAAGCTCGGAGTGTACCTGGACAGAGCGTAGACAGACAGATTCATAATGGCCCATGATATAACATCCACAAGATGTCATAGGGTCAAATAACTAACTTCCTGATCATTGGCCAAAAGTTCATCATTATCCACTTCGTCTTCCAGCGCGTCGTCATCTTCGTCGGTATCCGTCTCTGTTCTATTGCGTCCAGCCTACAATTTCAGGGGGATACAGTTTGAGAAGAGGACATCTCCAAAAATTCAAAGAAATATATAGGGTAGTATGGAGTGTGCGAACATTCGGTCATTTCGTGCTGTTCCCCCAATGACCTACTCAGCATTGATAGCCTAAATGTCTCAAGGTAACTGGTGCCTAGATGATTCTGGCAGTGGGTTGTAAAAATGTAACTGCTTGGTCTTTAGTCGACGTCGTCGATTGCGACAGTGCACAGCGATTAAAAATAGAACGCAGCCACATCGCTAGTGACAATAGCCATAAGGCAATTACGTATTAAGAGAAACTATGATAGCATGTCAAATAATAAGTATCCGGTGGATAGCGTGTGGTGATTCCGTGCTCTTTCCAAAGCGCCCATTAGAGCGAAAAGGCGCTCAATACATGAAGCATTCGTCTAGAATCTCGTACACTTCCGGATAACAGCCCTAGTAAGATTCGACTCGGCATTTTAGGAATATCCGTTCGTTCGAAGATGCCGACGAGCCAGCTGCTGCCTTGAGGAGAACACTGTCAAATTCAGAGGACAACCGGGAAGCCAAAAAACAAAGAAACGTTGTGTAGAGAAGACTGCAGTAATTGTGAGAATATCTACGTGCGAAAAACAGGAACCGAATTATCGACTAGGATAAAAAAACATCTAAGGGCTTGCAAAAGACATTGTGCATCTTCACTGGTCTCAGGGTACGTTGATGAGAAGGGACATAGCTTCGACTAGAATCAAACAGACTCTTCCTAACGAAGTGCTACAAAAAGGAAGGGAATTCCTAAAAGCATAGTTCTCCTCCAATAATTCCATTAATGCGCACATTGTCATGGACCCCCTGTACCAACTTCTGAGAAGGAAAGATCGCCTGCGAATCGAAAGGCAAATTTCGAAAGGTGACATGCGACGGACGGGTCAAATGACCGCTTCACTCGTTGGGAAAATAGGCAAACAGCTTGGAACGCAAATCAAAGGTGACATTTTCAAAAGGCCCCTGCTTGTGCACCGCGGAAGGACGATTTGATAGGTAAGATTGTCCAACCTACATAACCGCCCTGAACATGCCGTCCTTTGTGGTGGCGAAAGATATACTGCCATTTAAGCAAGCCCGGTGAACCAATCAACAATGAACAACCAACCCGGGCTACCAGTGTTTCAAATCATTTCGAAGATGCCCTTGTTTTAACAAGCACCCACTCACCTACAGATCATAGTCCTGTATCTTACTTAGTTTAACTCGAATTCATTACGACTAACTAAGTGTATCATAGGTGCTGTCCCATGGAACGGACTACAAGACCAGTTGGAGTCGAGCGTAACATGTCACAAAATACGGCCCTTCCGGAACAAATAATCTATCTAGCAAAAGTAGGCAAGAGAAACTTATAAGAGATTTGACCTCTCCCCCCGGATAGCTTCGGTTCACATTGCTTGTGTGCACCCTTTACGACGTTTGTGGACCGATGGGGCCCTTTCCATAATCCATTTGCGCAAACGGCGAGGAAGGTACCGTAGTGCAAGCAACGTCTACTAATCAGCTGAGTTCCATAGACGAACGAATACGCACATAGCGACCACTGGCCGAAACCGTCGGCTTCACTTCCCATTGGGTGGCTAGTAAGTGCAGTCATGATGGATAATGTGTCTACCTGTTTATTACCCACTACCTCGTCCATAGTGGTTCTAGGAGACTGTTGGTCGTTGCTGGAGGGGACGGGGTGCACTGTCCTTGTGGTCCTGCGAGGCTCGAAGAGTGGTTTCAAGCACTCAGTGTGGAGCGGACTACGATCCAGCCACCGCCTTGTGTGCGCTTGATACCCCAACTACAGCATGCTTGTGAAGGAGTGTGGGCTGGTTCCGTTGATGGAACATGGCTCCTATCCGTATGCCTCCCGGTTTTATTCCTTCGGGTTTACACCGGATTTGTGGTGTGTGTGGATGGAGCTGTGGGTGGTGCAGCGCAAGCCATCTATGGTTCCTCTGTAAGAGCCGACTTCCTTGGCTGGCCACAGTGACAGGCAAATCCGAAACCGGATGCCGCCAACCATGATGGACTGGTCCATCGGACGCAGCAAACGTAGTCGTTTGTCTACGTGGATGCACTGAGTGCTAGACGCTTCATGAATTTACTTTTAGTTTATGAGTTGCTCGTTTAAATGAGGGAAGAGGTGTATGGACCAATGAACATTGTTCTTAATATCTTTTGGCCAACAACATATGTTGACAAAAGGTTTGGAGTCAAAGATGCTGTCATTGCCGATTTTCTTTTGATGCAAACAATGAGTTGTCCCCGAACGGCTGACTTTAGCATTTGTGATCGTAGCTTGAACTTTTCGTGCTGACCGCCGCGAAGCAAGCAGATAAAAGGCCAATCAATTTTAGCCAACGCGAGCTGACCGCGATTGTGGCAACTGGACAGGCGAATTCGAATTTTCTCATCCTAGTGCGAACAAATCACAGCCCGATGAGAGATGTAAACAAGGCGAAAGGGCTCGATCAGCTGTGCGTGAGCGGAGCGCATGCGTCAACAATTCCACACTTAAGTGAGGTTCATCGCAGCCAGTTTCCAAATCAGATAGTCGTCCACATGCCCTGAGAAGCACTAGACTGCAGTTACAGCCTGTTGGGCATCATCAGTAGTGGGCATCCATCGGATCCATCAGGATTCGAACCCAAGACCACCAGCGGCTTGAACTGCCCGTCAACAGCTTATGCCACTTGGCCACGGGGGACAGCTTCGGACCGTCATGATTTACAAGCTAACTGCGATATAGCGCGTCTTATCCTCCACTGGTGGTTCAAGCCGCTGGTGGTCATAGGTTCGAATCCTGATGGATCCGATGGATGCGAACTACTGATGATGCCCAACAGGCTGAAACTGCAGTCTATTGCTTTTCCGGGCATGTGGACGACTATCTGATTTGGAAACTGGCTGCGATGAACCTCACTTAATTACATCAAAACCCCTACTCATGAGTACATCAAATTCCACACTTGCAATGACACTGGACGCGATCCCAACCGGTCCACGGAACAAGCGGTGGTGACGAGTAGTAAGTAAACAACGCGAAGCAGGCGAGGCCTAAACAAATTGATCATAACCGCAAGGGCCAGACAGACGGCGGAACAATGATGCGGTCAAGTGTGCGTCAGGTTGCACGTGTCCATCGACAGCACAGAGTAGGCGAGCAGTGAGCACCGACGGTAGAAGACGCAAAACTGAAAGCTGATCAATGAGAAGCCATTGCAAGTAAATAGCTTCTCCAATATTTTAATGGTAGAAATGCTGCATCGCTTTACTGATAACAACATTTGACCGCTTCCCGCGCCTTGTTTTGACTCCTAAAGGGCTATGCGACAACATGATCTAGAATTTTCAACTCGACGTCAATTGTGTTAAAACCCTCACGTGTTGTAAGATATCTGGTCGTACTATGTGGCACGTCGAACTGCCTCCATCGTGGACATTTGAGGACGGTGGCAGAAGCCACAACAAGGGTGCGGGGGACCCAATACCTCCTCGCATTCCTGGAAGACTTTGACCAACTCCCCATTGCAAGAGTACCTGTGCGCTAGCTGATGAGTTAACAACGAAACCTATTGTACGTGTTGAACTGGAATCTGCCTAAGAGCCAGACTATTGAGTGCAGGGATACTTGCAAACGCAGAAAGTGGTCTAGAATGTCAGCGGAGCGAACAGGTTCCTCGATTAAACCCATAGGATCTACATGAAAGCAGGAAAGTAGTGTATTAATTTAGACAGGAATCTGTTTTAGTGCGTCATTTTTCCATCATGAGTGCAGTGATATGGACCTCACTGCCCCGATAGATTTCGTTTTCTTTGATATTGCAGCAGACCAGAATGTCCGTTTAACAAGCCGTGAGAAGGCGGATGACCGTCTAGGTCACGTTGCTACGTCTCCCCTTAACCCTTCCACTTTGTTTACCATGTTGTTACAATGCTGAAAATGTGCTCAGTCGGATACATAAAGCTTATTTTGACTTGAATGTTGTTGCGTATTCGCCCTACAAACGGAGTTTGCGATGGCACCAACGGCGAGAGTTAAAACATCGACTTGGCGCCCTTGGTCTACAGTCCAAAACCAACGCCCTATCTTAGGTTTTCACTATGCCATTGGGGCTTACTTGCTTTAGCGCTTTTTGCCCGGGTGATTCCATTTGTAATCTCTACCGCAGTTGGCTTTTCTTTTTACCGCAAACGATGTGACGGATGTTTTCAGATGTTATCGTACGGTGTAGTTACGGGTCCTTGTCGATAGACGGTAGCGGTTTCCCGTTTCAGTTCAAACTAGGGCGCGAATGGAGATTTATTTTGTATACTGACGTACACAGTGCCTTACGTCTATCCGAGCCATTGGAACTGTTCAAAATTATTTCAGGTATGTATTTTACATAAAAATCTTATCAAGGTCAGTCTTTTATTACTTATATAATAGAAGAATAATATCCGTCCATTAGGAAACAGAACATAAGCTCACAAGTTGAGTACTTGTAAACCAAAATGTAGTGATTCCACTTGGAATCAACAGGTCATACACATGTGAGTGCTTGGAGCATTTTGTTTAAAAAGCGACTTCATGGATATTTGACGAATTAGTTAGTTTCTTTTGCTGATTTCTATCAGTTGTACAGTGTTTTCTGAGAGTGAAAGATATAATATATAGATTCTAGGTAGATATTAAATGTGTTGTAAGATAGACTTATTTGTTTGTTATTTTTCGGATATAAAACACTTAAGCAGATGTTAGATATTTTACGAGCTATTGTCTGTCATAATATAATAATATTTTTAGATCTATTTTGATAGCATATGTCGAGATGATTTTCTCTCGAGCAAATCTTGATACTCCTGTCAGATGTTGACGATGATGACTTTCACGATGTTTAAAATAAGGAGGTGGCATAAGCAGCAGCTGTTCGGCGCAGAGTTTTGGAAGAAGGATGATGTATGCATATACCTACAGCATTCCTGGGCGAATTCATACAAGAAATGATGCTGAACGTGATGACGGAGAGCACAATGCTGAAGAGGACACAGGTCTCAATGTGTAACTTGGAAGATAAGACAAAGCTGAGCATCCAGGACATGAGATAAGGAATAAATATCGACGATACAAAATGGTGGAACCAGTACATGTGACTTATCGTTCCACCTTTTCTGATCCTCCAAATGAGGACATGAGTCCACTGAATTAGTTTGAAACATTTCTAGATGGCAGTTTCATTGAAAATTCGGTTGACAAAACAATCCTGTGTTCTACACAAAATACACAGAAGTCTATCAACCCAATAGTGATTGAAGTGTGCCAATTTATGGGTATGCATAGTTTATCTGGAGTTGTTCATGTGCCGAAATGCAAAATGTACTGGGCTGCTTCTACACGCTACGAGCCTATTGCAAGTACCATGTCGCGTGCTCGGTTCTGCAACATGAAGAACTACTTGTATGTTAACAACAAGAATAATATGGTTACAAGAGAACCTAATGGTTATGATAGACTGTTCAACATCAGACCTTTTCAGGAATATCTGAGAAAAACGTTACTGATAATTGAACCAGACGAATATAATTCAGTGGATCAGATGATGTTCCCACTCAACTTCCACACTTCCATGCTACAATATGTGAAGAACAAACCACACCGATGGAGTATCTAGGTATTCACCCGGGGTTGAGTAAGTGGGATTGTCGATAACTATGAAATTTATGTAGGCAGGGAGACAAATGTGAAAGATAGTCCTCTATGCCTAAGTGGCAGTGTTATCCTTAGGCTAGTTGAAGATTTGACTAAACACCATAATCAAAGGTGTCTTCGATCCGGTGGATCGACGTGCACTTTGGGATCGCCTGCTAAGAAAACGTGTGACGGAGAAGTCATCGTCATCGTCATCATACATGTTAGCTAGAGGTGGGGAACACCTCAGCTATTGTGCCGCAATACACAGAGAAAAGGAGGAAAAAAAGCAACTAATACAAGCCGGCTGAGCTACCGGTAACGGATGGGCATCGTTCCGGTAAGCTATCTGCCGGCTACTGTGCATCAAAAAAATTACCATGCAAAATTACATAAGGCGAAATAATGAGCTCGTGGTTGGAAGGTGAGGCTAAGAGGGATGGGTGGGACAAAGAAACTCACAGCACGAACGCCACTGAGGTCGGCTCCTAGCCATATCAGTAAGTGTGTCCAACCAAACGTGTTCATCGTATTTCGGACCCCAACATCGTCTTTCGGACCGAAAAGTAAGTAAATATTATGCGAGCACTTTACGCACATAGCTCGGGCAGAGTGAGGGCTTACGGCAAGCTGTCGCCACCCTTCAATATCTCCAGCGATGTGAGACAAGGATGCCCGCTGTCACCTTTCCTCCTCAAGTGCGCTCTTGACGAACTCATGGAAATCGTGTTTGAAGGACACGACTTAGAAGGTGTGGATCTGCTCCCAAGGAGAACGACTTCTTGACTTAGAGTATGCTGACGATATTGCCCTAATCTGTGACAGCTCACAAACGTGCCAAGCGGCAATGGACAGATTAGCACTGACTGGCAACCGTTTCGGGCTATGCTTTGCAACTCCAAAGTGCAAAGCCTTCCTCCAAGATTGGCATGGAATACAACCTGCGTTGAGCCTTGGGGGGATCAACCAGAAGTGGTTCAAAAGTTCAACTACCTGGGAAGTTGTATCAGCGCCATTGGAATCGAAGACGAGGCCACAACAAGTATAGCAAACGCACCTGGAGCTTTTGCTAACTTTCGCCACCTATGGCGCAAGCGCGACATCACTCGCGCCCTGAAGGGTAGAGTGTACAATGCAGCGGTACCTTCGACCTTACAGTACGGTCGTGTTCTGTCCTCAAGGGGTTCGACTTAGCAGCTTCTTAGATTGCGCCACGCGAGTCAAAAGACCACCCACCGGATGAGAAGTATAGTTGCGAAACACAGAACTGGCCGACGTGGGAATGAAAACACACCGATACAGTCCAAATCACGGCTGTGTGCTAGTTTGAATTTATCACGGGACGTGTGCGTGGTATGAAACAAGCTAGAGTAACAGATGGTCGGCAACACAGAAAGACACTAATCTGCTTGTAACTGCGACTGTTCTGATACAAGGCACACGGTTACTTGGGGAAATTGTGCAGTTACCTTCCCGAACAAGTCAGTTTGTTACGTTTTTGTGCGTATTTGGCGTTGGTCTGTGTGAAATGCTGTGTTTCCATGCAAGGTACAAGAGTTGATCTGAAGCAGTGGCGCCAACTAGACTTGATTCTCAGACAGCGCAATTTTCCTCCGAGCTGGCCGTTCGAGACCTTCCAGTTTGTGAAATCTAGGCCATTCGGTCGACAGACATAAGGATGCTAGTTAGTTTCAACCCCCGGTGGCTTCGCAGTTTGGTTCATATCTGGTGAGAACACCGTGTGAGCAATGAGCGTGTTTGGCGCCTTGTATATGGCGCAGGAAGAAGAAGCGAATCTCGCAGCAACCTTGGTTCACGTACCAGGCTCCGAAAGCTGGGCCACGTATTGCGCATGCCAGCCCACCGAATCCCGCGACGTGTGTTGTTTACACGCCGCGGGTGCGAATGGCAGAAGAGGAAGTTGGTCAAGCGATGACTTGGTCTGGAGCAATGAAGTTCCATACTTCGAAGTTGGCCCCAGTTTGAGCCAATCGGCTTCCTGGTTGGGAACCGAAGAACGGTGAATAACTGGCAAGGTACATTTGGTGACATGCCTAGGAGCCGACCTCAATGGCGTTTGTATTCTGTGTTTCATTGTCCCTCCGCCTCCCGCTTAGCCTCCCCTCCAATCACGATCTTATTTATTTGGCAAAATATTACTCTATTTTTGTGGCACAATGGCCGGCTGTTAACTCGCCGGAACGACCTTCATCCCTTACTGATGACTCAGCCGGCGTGCCTCTGTTTCATGATTTTTTCTTTGATGTACTGCGGCACAATAGCTGAGTCGCTTTCACCTGCAGCTAACATGTATACTGATATAATAATGATTATCGATTAGCCGTACAATTGCATGAAATAACATTCGTTATGGATAAAGTGATTTTCACTGGATGCACAGCAAGTGTAAACGTGGATTAATTTTGACTAGGGATCCAACGCATCAAACAGCGTGATACCTTCCATGACAGCTTGTAAGTATCCTCCGGATGCAGTCCACGACCAGATTAGCCGTTTAGTTTTTTAGTACACTGACCATTATGGTTCCCACAGAAGAGAGACTTGGCGGCCTAGCACAATCCATGGTTGATCAAGACACGAAAAGAACGAATGGAAAATTTAAATCCGAGAATTGCGAAATGCTGCTGAATATTTTCTGAACGTCAAAAACGTTTGTTAACAGAACTCATTTCTGCTGCCTTTCAGGCGCTGGTGCCGACAGGAGTGGAAGCGTTCGCACAGCTATAGTTCCTGTGGTCATGCACACAGCCCATCCCTCAATAGTACTGGAATAAATCTCAGTAAATTGAGCACGTTTTAGCTTATCATGGCGACTGTTTAAGTCTGCCTATTTGTTCAATTCATCATCCATCTTACTGTTTGAAACTCCAAAACGAATGCAACGCGGTTATTTTCGGATGGAAATTTTCATCGGTACCATTACAAGCCCTATGTAGAAGACCATTTCTATGTGGTTAAACTAGACGATAAACCGACAAGCTGCGGTTAATTACGATGCGTCACAGTTTAGCAATTGCTGTTGACCTTCTGTACCGAGGTGTTGTCTCAGTAGGTTGATAGATTGAGTTTCATTAAGTCTGATGTGAGGCGCAGCCTTTGAACTGTCCATTGCCGCTCTCCCCCAAAACATCGTTTTACGAACAATGAACGATCATTTGTAACGGGTAAAAAAGCAGGTGTTTGACATGTCCCGTAGGGTGTTTGGAGTGAGAAAAGAAAGATCAAGGGATAATGGAATCGCCGGATCGAGCGATTACAAATTTAACTGCACAGCCGTATAAAGGAAGTTTGCAATTAGAATGTGCGCACACAGAGCAATAAGGGGAGTGGTTGTTGATCACGTACTAAGCGAGAAAAATAAAAAAATAGCAAGGACAGCGCTTGCCCGTGTGCAACTATCTTGGGTCGACGGGATACAGAAATCCGGTTTTTATAGTAGTAGCGTTTATCAAAGTTTGTGCA